TGGGTTAGAGGGGGTTGGATCCTTGTTGTGGAATGTGAAGCTGCTTATTTCTGGGCCCTACTCAGGTGGCACTAAGCCTAACTTTTCACTGATAAACATCATTCTAGCTGAACCAGCAAATAGCACCATCCATGCAAATAAATAGCCTCATCTCTTCTTCTGTCCCAAGATTGTGCTTAATTTCAGCTTTAACTGAATCATATTTTAGAAACCATATTCAAAGATTGTGTTGTTTTTCTTGCGCTTTTTTTAAACAAATCACAGTCCTACTGGCTAAAAATTCTAATTGCTAAGACTACTTAGTTGCCAGAATAGAATGAAATTAGTTTAAGTTTAGTGATTTCTAATTAGCTAAGATTAAATTAGTTATTACTATTCAAATTCTTCTTGTTACAGAAAATGTGCTCTTTTGATGTGGAAATCCATGTTATTTAGTCAAAAAATTTGTTCAATATAAAAATGGTAGGCCTATTTATTATTTCTTTTTAACCAAATCTTTTTAAAGAAACTATGTAAATGTAATTAAAAACTACTATTGATTAATTGAAAGATGGTAATACCCTTAGGGGGCGTCTGTACCCAGGTCAGCTCAGACAACAAATTAAAAAAAAACTCACTTGAGAAATAAGAGAGACAATTTTAATCTTGAGTACCCAGGCCCAGACCTTTAAGATTAACTTGATTGACTATAAATATTATTACTGTCATAACCATTAACTCTTACTGATAAAACAATAAGTTATGTATATTAAGTCCTCACCATTGGAACACAATTTGAGAAATGCCAACTTGTTTTTAAATAAGAATAAAAATATAATAGTGTTTATATTTCATCATATTTAAAGTTCTAAACAAAATCTGAAACAATCATCTAATTGAAAATATGAATACATAATGGTTTAAATTACTTTAATATATAATATATTCAAGCTTAATTTGCAAAGGTTGACATATAGAATATGAAAACAAAAAATATTTTGTCAATAATTAATGTATTTATGATAAATTTTTAGAAATACAAAGTAGTAGTAGTAGTATGTAGGATGAATGATTGTAAAGAAATATATACTATCTGGTATAAGTTATCCTTAATTTTTATGTTGCAAATTATATTATTTTAAATTTTGTTTCAGTCATTTTAAAGACGATATCTCAATGCTCAGTGCCCTTGGAACAGACTTATCAGGTTAAATTTTGGCTGGTTTCTTAGACATAAGGTCAACATAATGGGAAAACATGACGATTTGCAATATAAACCAAGTCTGCATAAAAATGATCCAGATGTAGTCATAAAGACTGATGTCATTACTGAATTTCACAAAATATTTAAGAAGGAGGGAGATAATGATATCAACTCTTCACAAGAAACAGATGGTGAATGTTTTGACAATGGTGATATAAAAGAGGAGATAGGTGCACACACAGATCTGGAGGTTGATACTAGTTCTGCTTTAAAACTTTATACAGCATGTGATTCCAATAATATCTATGATCGTTTATTTATTTTAACAAAAGAGAAGTCTGGGTCTTGCTACGAGAAGTGTTCCTATGCTACTTGTAAGGACTCTGAGCTAGCTGCAAACCAGCAACAAGAAAAAAATGACATTTCCTTATCCAAGATATCTGGAAAAATGTTGGGTGTAGATATTAGACAGGCTACTACTACTAAGAAATTGCAATGCAATTTAGAACTTACTGGAGAGAAAGCCTATAAATGTGACATTTGTGCTGCAACATTTACTAAGAGTTCAAGTCTTATAAGACACAAAATACATCACACAGGAGAGAAACCTTACAAATGTGAATTATGTCCTTCAGCATTTGCTCACTCTTCAAGTTTAACATATCACAAAAGAAATCACAAGGGAGAGAAACCTTACAAATGTGACATTTGTCTTTCTGCATTTACTGTCTCTTCAAGTTTAACTTTTCATAAAAGACGGCACACAGAAGAAAAACCTTTCAAATGTGACATTTGTCCTTCTGCATTTACTCAAAGATCTTATTTAAAATGTCACAAAAGACAGCACTCAGGAGAAAAACCTTACAAATGTGACATTTGTCTTGCTACATTTGCTCAAAGATCTAATTTATCTACTCACAAAAGACAGCATACTGGTGAGAAACCTTACAAATGTGACATATGTCCTTCTGCATTTGGTAAAAGCTCTTATTTAACATGTCACAAAAGACAGCACACAGGAGAAAAACCTTACAAATGTGACATTTGTTTTTCCACATTTACTCAAAAATCTAATTTAACTACTCACAAAAGACAGCATACAGCAGAGAAAACTTAGAAATGGGACATTTTTCCTTCTGAATTCGCCTACTCTTTAAGTTTAACTAAACATAAAATAAGAAAGGAGTCTAACAAATATAATACTTTGTTATTTTCTATGTCTTGTAATAGTTCTGGTCTAACTAATCACAGGCGAAAACATACATGAGTTTACTCAAAGATGTATTTAACTACCCACAAAAGTCAGCACTCAGGAGAGAAACCTTACGTCTATGCATTGGTCATTCTCAATTTGCTCAAAGACATCATTTAGATACCCAAAAGGTTAGCACTTGGGGAGAGAAACCTTACAACTCTGACATTCCTCACAAAAGATAGTTCACTGGATCGAAAAAAATTTGAAATTTTCCTTCTTCATTTGCTGTCTCTTCATGTTTAATCATTCACAAAAGACAGCACACGGGAGAAAAACCTAAAAAAACAACCGGTGTTTATCTATGATAAAAAATGTCAGTTTTTTCACATTTGTTTGTGAATTGCATAAATTTTTGGTCACAAAGGCTGGGATTTCATTGCTAATATTTTTGTGTACCCATATTCCTAAGTTAAAAAAAAACAAAAAACAACTGCTTCTGATTTTATGTCACAAACCCTGATCAGCAATATTGCTTTTTTTTTTTTTTATATACAGAGTAACATGTTTTTCCAAATTTTTTTTAAAGATGTTAATTGTAAAGAATATTAAGCAGGAATTCTATTCTATGCCAGTGAATTTTAAAGAACTTAACTTAGACCATGTTTGATCAAAAGCTTCAGGACTAATAGTCCACATTAAGATTTGTTTAGAAGTGTTTATTTTGGTTTCCAACTAGATTTGATGAATAGCTTGAAAGAGAGCTGCAGGACAAACATTAGATTTGAATAGCTCTTCTCCTGTGAGTATGCCTCAGTACATGTAAGCTTGAATTTATTTCAAAAGCTGCATTGCAAAGATTAAATTTATTAAAATATTTTTCTCCAGTATGCTTGCTATGGTGTATGGTACTACTATTAATATATTTAGTTTGTGAGCAAAAGCTTCAAGGACACTTCTACTACTTCAGGTTTTTTCGCCAGTGTGAACAACATCATTTGATATAACTGTCACTTTTGAATGGATTTTTTTTCCAGCTTTGCTTCTTTGATGTTGTTATTTGACCAGATCTGAGTTACAACAGAAACTTACAGGGCATACTTTACACAAGATAACTTCTTTAATTGTTGTTCATACTTTGGTTGTTTACTGACATTAACCTCTGTGATGTTAACCTCTGTGCTAATAGTTTCTTTTTTTTTTTCTTACCTTCATTTCTCTTTGGTTGATTTTTACTGACAATAACCTCTATTCTGTCGGCTATAGGTTCCTTTCTTTCTATATTCCCCTTTGGTTGAAGCTTACTTTGATCTTCCTTGTTGTTTATTCTATTACATGATTTATGCAAAGTCATGTCAATTATTAGTGTTGCAATGTTCACTGATGCATGTAGAGCAGGTGAGGCCAAGCTAAAAGACTTCACAGGCCACTTTGAAAGAGAGTAAACCATTCAAGGACCACTGGTTATTATGGTTAATTTTAAAACATTAAAACAAACACTAACTGAATGTTGTTTAGAAATATTTATCTATTCTCAATACACATAATGAAATGCTAAATAACGTAAACTAAGTTAATGTGATATCATTTTATCTTTTCTCTAAATTATAGTATTGATATTTATACTTTGTCAATTAAATGAAGAATGAATAAGTTTCTTTTTTGTAAGTAATGCATGCACTGACTGCATTAGCTGACAAAGTGGGCCACCCCTGATGCAGAGCATTAACTTAAAAAAAGCTCCTCTTTAACACCATTTTATAAGTCCACCTATTTCTTTTATGTTACAAGGAAATGCTCCCCTTTGATAGTTCTATTTTGATACATTATCAACTTATAGATCCATGTCCATCAATGGTGTGTGTTTCGTTGATGCATTGATACACATTAGTGTCATTTTCAAACTTGGGCTGTACATCCCCAACACTTTTAAATAGTTTAGTGTCATCCAGTAGTCACATGTTAATGTTATTTCTGCTATGGCATAGTAATCAATTACTTAGGATATTTTTTTATTTTTAGGAACCTTGTGGCTTTGTAATTTTAAGTTCTTATTTAGTCCAATATCTTAGCAATCTATTAACAGCTTTATTAATGATTTGTTGCAATGTTACAACATTATTCCCTCACCCCCCCCCCCCTCGGAATATTTCTGAAAGAAAAATTGTATTTGCATCGTTGAATAGATATGCAGCAAATTATTTATTTATTGTTTTTGTTTTAAATAAAATTGTGTATAATTATGAATGTGTTTATTATTATTATGTTCACTGTAATTTTCTTTGACAAAAAAAAACACAAAAAACTAACACAATATAAACCTAACACTAACTAACTAAAGGCAGTTTAGGCTTATGACCTGGCTCAATAGCATTAGTATGTGTAACTAGCCAATATACCTGGCCCTGTTTTGGTTTGTATGCAGAATAAAAACTTTGTTATCAGCTTACACGTAATGAAACATTTCCTCCAATAAAAAAAATCTAGATGTATGATAATTCTTGTAAATATTTAATTTGTGGCCCACCATTTTTTAGTTAATATCCAGGCTGGTCACAGCCAAAACCAATGATTGAAAGACAAATACAACAATTAAAACTTAAGAACAAAAAGATGTAAACTTTATTAATTTGAAATCCAATGATATTTTAAAAGATATGTAAGGTACGTTATGCAAGTTATACCTAGATGCAACAATTTACATTGTAACCTGGGCTCTGGTCTACTGCTTTGGCAGTTATAAAGAAAATACATTGTAGAAACTCCTATTCTCATTTGGAACTTTTTGGAAACTTCAAAAATATCTTTTAATCTAATTTCATTACATTTGAGGGAAAGTTTAGAAAGTTTAGAAATCTATAAAACTTAACTAAAATTTCCACAAACTTTTAGCATGAGATCACATCGTTATTTCCATTTTCTTTACATCTATGTAGAACAATATAAAAACTGATGTAAAATTCTATACTTTTCTAAGGCCTTCAAATAACTGTTAAGAAATCTTTATCCTATGTCAAAGATATTTCAATACTAAAAATATCTACAAAAAAATCCAACCCTCAAGATGTTTTACTTTAATTTTGAAATAACGCTCCCCTTGGGAACTGGTTCAATAAGGTGCTGTTTTAATAAACACCAAGACAGGGCCCTAAACATTTTCTTCAGATAAATAGTAGAGTTAGATTTTAGAAGTCGTTCCAATTAAAGTCAGTTTAAAAAAAGTCAGACATGAAAGGAAAATGAAATTAGGGCCCCTGGGACCGACCACACTTAATATTTTGTAACATAAATTTTCAAGTGCATTTGTACCAAGATGAATCTAGATTCAGCCATTAATTTTATTTATGTAGCACCTATAAGAAAAAAATGAAATTTGGGCCCCCAGCTCTGAACAGGTTATTTTTTTTTTTAAATTTAAGCCCCGTCAGCATTTCCTTTATAAAATGAAATGTTTTAACTATGTATCCTAAGTTTGACCCATTAAGCTATTTAGAAATGGATGTGATATAACCAGACATATTTTCTCATATATATAATAATAAATAATATTATACCAGAAAGTTGCAAGTACTGCATACTGCTACCTTTTAAATTTAACAGAAAATAAATACACAAAATATAAGGCACACATACAATGACATGCATCTCTGATGAATTTACAAGGGACTAAAAGACGGAATTAAGTTTGCTACCCCCATTCATGTAAACATTTGTTTGGAAAAATTTCAACCAGTATGCCAAAATTAAATGTTTGGGAAACGCGGGTCTAGATGATGATACCAAAGTACGATTGCATATTTTGTTAAAAATCATAGGACCATTGTAGATTATAGTGCAAACAACACATTAAACAATTTTATCCTAACTTCTGTAATTTCACTAATTAATGCTTAATTGTTTTAATACCCATGTACACCAAGTACACCCACATTGAGTAGGTAGATTTACACATTAAGTATATTATGCAAGTAGTAAAAAAAAAAAACAACACTTTATGTAACCTTTAAAAACATTAAGTGGGCACACTTTAAGAACCCACATCAAATGGAAGTGCATCAGGGTAATCGTTTCAGATTAAAACTTAATACCACATTGAAATCTAAGCATCTTCTCCCCAGTCCCATTTCTTGCTGACATCACCAGCTCCACTTTTATTTGGCTCCCCTTTGGTGTGGTCCCCTCCCTCGGAATGCACGTGACTGTAGTAAGCATACAGGTTGCTGCGATCAGGCCCCAGTATCCACACAGGGGCACCACTGCTCCCCTTGCATGTTCCTGTCGAGTAGGTGTATGTTGTCCAAGCCAGATTTTCCTTCTTGTTCTCAAAAGTTTCCATCTCCCTCCATTCTCCCACAGTCACATACTTTGCACAGCCGTGTGGGTGAGAGGCTATAATGGCCATGTTGATATTGACATCATCGCGGTATCTTTCTTGAATCATCTCTGCTAGACCCATCAATGGCGTTAGAGCATTGTTAATTTGCGTAGCAAATTCCAGATCGTGGGTGGCGCATTCAAATTTACACCAATCCCCATGACGGTTGGAGTCGACAACACGGCATCCATAGAGGGTTGTCATGTTCTTTTTGGTTGTTAAGTCCTCGTTGTCATAGTGGAAGATAGCTGATGTTTTCTCCACCTCGATGTCATCAAATACAACATGCAGGGCGGTCATTACCCAGATGGCTGCCCATTTCTGGAATAAAAAATTTTTTTTGATATCAACACATAGCAAATGTCATCGTTAGCTGAGAACTATTTATTATTATTTTTATTATTTTTTTAAATAGGTTAAATGTTTAATTTAAATGACATAAGCATGTGTATTTTTTTGTTAGATTGTTGAAATGTGTAATCATGTCACTTTCTAAAAAAACATATTATTTTTTTTAGTAATATTTTTTTCATCAGGTTTAAACTAAATGACTAAATGTACCAGAATTTCATTTAATAATTAAAATTAAAAAAAAAAGAATAATTACTAGCAGTAATGAGAAGATTTTCTTACTGTGCATGGATCTTTAGAAGAAATGCATTGGGAACAAGGACAAGGAAATTTGTCATCTTCAATAATCTGTACATCTGTCACCTTTCCAGTACCTATCAAATACAGGTCAATCAATCCTTGGTTACAAAAACATAGTTAAATGTGTCTCAGTAGTATCCGTAAATAAAAAAACAAACTATTGTGATATGTTATGATTTCTAAGTATAAATAAACATGAAGAATTGTATAAATAAACATAAAGAAAATGAGTTCTGAGGTGGAAAAGAGATATCATGGTACAAGAACTTTCAAAATGTCTGTGGTAGGTAACCTATAACTGAATTAACAATGAAAGCAGCAGATTTCAAGTTTATTCATTTATTCGTAATTCAGACTGATACCATAATTCTGGATTCCTTGATATAGTATGGAGCATGAAAAATATTTTGTATACAGTCATTAATGGCGAGGTGAATATTACCATATACATCATAGTCATAGAGTATTCATATGTTGGATCCTATGATGTGTTTGTTTATAGTCTGATACAGGTATACCTACTTAACCCGATAATAGGTATTAGCCCCTAACACACTGCATTATCTTTACTGGAAATATCTATTTGACATCTTTTTTGTTGCAAGCATTTTATTTATCAGAAAAGATACATTTTGATAGTTAACTTACCTGAACGGATTAAAGGCATGCCACGATATTTGTAGAATGGGTCTGCCACTGTACGGTCCTGGCTTGTTGCACATATTGACAGTTTCACCGTCAGCTCCACCCACAGCTTGATAAACTTTAGAATGTCTGTATCTCTAGAAGTTATTTATTATTATTATTATTTTATTTGCGTATTATTATTTTTTTTGTAAGATAGCTTGAATGGGTTGAATAAAAAAGTTACAGATCGGGTAGAATGGAAATTATTAAGACTTTTCTAGTATAAGTTCTTTCATAAGTCATTTCATGTGGAAAGAGTATGTATAACTCTTGGTGTACAAGACATAGTGCCAGATTAACCTAAACACAAATGGAACACATACCTTTTAGGGGCCCCGTGATAAGGATCCGATTGTTAGGGAGAGGGGGGGGGGGGGGTTTTGTCGTAAGTGTACTCCTATAATAATGTAGGGAAAGTTTGCAGCCATGCTTAATATGTACCATTTATTGTTCTTCCTTTAAAATTAATGATGAGCCTGGATTCACATCATCATCTATTTCATACAGCATTTTATGCAGTCTGAAACCTTGTCACAACTTTCAAACAATGATTTATGTCATGCAAATTATTTTAGTTTTGGTAATCCAAATCTGATTCACCTGAACAACAGTAAAATTAAAATAAATAAATTTAAAAAAATATAAAAAATGGCTGATTAAACTATAAGTATAAGGCAGAAATGTTATTTTATACAAGATAGGCCTACATATAGATTTTATAAAGTTAAGACTAAAAATTGGACTAAAAACTATCCTGCAAAAATGAATAATATAGATAAAATGATAGCTGATAAAATGAATATTTGGATAATTCCTAATAATCATAATCTTATTTATATTAGGTCTATATTTAATTAAAGTTATATGAAAGGAAAATATTGTAAAGCTACTGTACATTTTTTTGGCTAAAAATTGATCACTTATTTTTACTTGACATTTCCTTATAAAGATATTGATCTAACATAATTTTTAATGCTGTGAAATATCCTTTTTAATGGTATTTATTGCAAAAGCATATGCCTATTTTAAAAATATCTATAGAAAATTATATATGAACAAAACATAAACATTGTCAAATATCTTATTAGTTAGAATATGTGAATTTATATGTTCAAGTTACCAAGCACTCCAGAAAAGTGGGCTTATTCTGCTTGCATAAATCATGACAGGTGAAATAATTCACAGTAAGTAGACCACATTATGATACAGGATAACAATATTTTAACTATTTTTTAACATTGATTAGAATTGCCATACTATAGGGCTACATACTATACACAAATATATTGCTGAAAGAAGTATTTTGCTTAGGCCAATATTATTTATATATAGGCCTATAATTTATATATTATTAGTATTATTATGTATAAATTATTAGTAATAACTGATATACTTGAATGTTCTTCAATTACTGTGTGTATAAATTATAGGCCTATATATAGTAAATTACTAATCACCTCGTTGGGCCTACCCATCAAAATAAATGAATTAATTGTTACTTAATTAGTCTAACCTATGTCTTAATTATTTATATAGAATTTATTATAATAGGCACTATTAAAGTAACAAATGTATTACTCAATGTAACCTGTAAAAAAATAAAGTGAAATTATACCACTTACAACACTAGCAGTCCGATCAAGTCACGATTGAGGCATAAGGCCTGAGGTAGTATTATCCTCCTCACTGCAAGAGTCACGCAAATTATTATAATTTTCATGTGATGTTTAACATTCAGTACTGCAGAAACTCTTGATCTCTTAATGCTGATAGAAACTTTCCAATTTCTTCTTTCTTTCTTCAGAGTGGTGCAATATGAAGTATGATTAAATTTTGAAAACTTTTCTAGCCGTCATTTTGAGAAGTAGCCTTGTAAAATCCCATGGCAAAAAAAGTAGTTTGCGATCAGTTATCAAATGTAAAAAACTTGCTAGAAATAAAATCAAAGCTATTTTATCAAGAGCTTTTTTGACAAATTACACACCCATGAGAATATGTGAACAGGAAAGTTTGATCCTGTAAAAATATGGCTTAAAATTAAATAAGGAAGCAAAGTTCAAAGCAAAGCAAAACTAAAAAGAGAGAAATAGGCTATATATATACACATATTATGTACATATATATGCTTGATATTATTTGTTGATTATGTCTTTTGAAGTATATCTGTTAACAAGATATCTATAAAAAGGACTTACCTATATTGTGCGGGAAGGTGAGTCAGAGAAAATTCAGATGCAAGAATGAAATTGGCGTGACCAGGATTCTTTAGGCAGGCATTCCATGACATGGAACCTTCGTAGCCCTCAACACAAACTTCAACTTCATGTTTTCCTTTTAATAAACAAAAACAATTATGATAGAGACCCTTTTAAAAATAAGGTATAAACATGTAATTTATTTTTTTTTTTTAAACAAAAATCTCTCTTTCAGGAATGGTTTACTTTTATTAGGATACACTTTTTTAGGTATATTCTTTCTTTAATTAATATGTTATAAATGCACCACTGTGCAAAGATTATTTTGTGTAATTTTTTTTATAAATCTTAAGCTAACTTCAAATTTGTTTCCTCTCAAAAACTACTTTGATCTTTGTTTTCCTATGTGCTATTTAACTGTTTATTTTTGTTATTTTATTTTTGTGGAGGGGTTGGGTGGAAAATAGACCTAAAAGCAAAACATCATGTAGTAAACTGTCTACTGGTACACCAACGAGTTTCATATTTATCCCATTACCTTGATCAGCAAGAGCTGGGTGTGGGCTGTATAATGATAATGTACATTCTATTTTCGTCCTTTTTACATCTGTTGAATGGATGTTTAATTTAAAATAATTAAAATAACTAAAAACATATAGGCCTAGACTTACATAAATGTTAGACAAAATAATGCATATTTTAACATTTAAGTAAGTAGTAATAGACAAAATAATGCATATTATATTACTAAATTTGGCAGTTAAATTATTTTTAAAGTTTGTTTGAAATGGAATGATATTAGTTTCATTGTTTATTTATGCTCAAGTAAAAAATCTTAATCCATCCTGTTGGGCCTATATCCATAATTAAAAATAATATTTCAGACCACATACAATCTTAGAGTTTAAGAATCAATTAAACTTAAAATATGAATATGAATTTGAAAACTGGACCTTCATATAAATGTGTGTTTTCTTAAATTTTAAATAATGAATTTGGAATACACTTTACTTTGTAGAAGGTGAGTTAAAAATCATATTATTTGAAATTCACTATGATTGAAATTATTTTACCTGGACTGTCACCATCCTCTGATTCTTTTATTATGCGTTTACTTGTTCCTACCGCAGTAGTATTGTCCATGTGGTTGGCTTTACTGTAAATGTAATAGATATAAGTTTGTGCAAAATTAATATGCAAAGCATATAATTCAGAGATTGCAAATATTTAATAATAAAATAAGCCTACATTATTTTCTTAAGACTTAAGTTGATTTAAAATGTTTAATTTAACCTAACGTTATCAATATTAATATGTCATGTAGCATGCCCTATACATTTATTTTTATTTATGTTTAATTTATTTATAAAGTATAAAGTCAAAGGGAACATTCCTAGGCAATTTTTCCAAATATTAATATTAACTCTAACATTTTATTTATTTTTACATTTACAGTTAATTAGGATTTTAAAATATTCTTTTCTTATTGTAAATAGGTCTACCATAAATATGAAATTTTTTTGAAGCAAGCATTGAAGCAAGCATTGAAGCAAGCATTGAAGCATTGCCTTCATCTAAAATCTAGGCATGTGTGAGTGTGTCTTAGCCTATGCAACTATGCAGGTAGCGCCTTATACTTATTTCTTTCGGATTCGGTAATAATTTGGGCAACATAATTGAAAATACTGCAAGCAGCAATGTCATAGTCATTGTCAATGTCGACAATGCGCAATATCGCATCCTCTTCTTCTCATTCTCAGTTCAGTTCTGTGTGACAGACCGGCCGACAATGCCGACATGAGTCTTAAGTCTATCCCATTTTGAGTCATATCATTTATTGACATTTATTATTATTGTCATTTAAGTTTTAAGCTATAACGTTTAGGTAGTTTCCCAAATCAAACTCAAATTAGAAATCCTAATTCAACAATAAATGAAATTTTTGGACTATGATAATAGGTTAAATAACACACCCTACCTTACACAATGACTCCAAACTTATTGCTATAAACAAAGATTCAGTGAATATCGTAGACAAAATAAAGTCACTTCCATGGAAAATCATGCAAATTTCACGGGAATTCCCCTTTCTGTTTTGGGAAAAACTAGTTTCAATTTAATTTAGCTGGCTCAAAGGCGTAGAAAGTGGGGGGTGGAGGAAATTTTTTTCTTCTCTTTATATGGAGGGGCAAGATTTTTGTCCAATTCATGAAATCAAATCATTTTTATCGTATCACGTTGTCATTGTATTATTAATTTAAACGTAGGCCTATTAATATTAAGTTAAATCTTAACATTTAAATTTAAGTTTGTTTCACAGTTTAAAAAAAAAAAAAGATATTGAATAAGGCTTTTTTTTATAAGCACATCAGTCAGTAAACGCATAGCCTATAGGATCCGAAAAGCAACAGATTTATTATTAGGCCCTTGTCATTCGGATCCTCTCGGTTGCACTTAAAGCAATGACTCGGACATATAATGTAAGGGGAAACGTCGTACACAGTCTACTACCCACATCCATAGCCCTAAGTTCAAGTTATTATCAATATTATACGCCGTCGACTGGGAATTTAGCAGCATATGGTTGCTACCGCTAGAAAAGAATTGCGCAGAATCAGTTGAATTATGGACTACTATTAATTTTTAAAAAATTTAATGAGTTAACGTAAATTATATTACTGAAATTAATTTTAAACGCTGTTGATTTTGCTATTATTATTATTGCTTATTACGACTTACAGTTACAGTTACAGCATATCCATGGTTTAAGTCCTGTGTATTCTGATTAGGTTTTTGAATTGTGTTTCGTTGTTGGTTTTACTGACTAGTTCAGACATTCCAACTTTGGATCTCTTCCAATTTTACTCTTATAATTATCATAATGTATGTTGTACCATTTGAAAGTACTTGCCACTGCTAGCATGAAGAATAAAACTTATTCTGTTGTCTTAGGTATGTATAGGCCTATATGTTTAGTCAATAGGTTTAGTAACAATAGGCTGCTCTCCTCCGTGTCTCATTTACATATGCGTCAGTACCCCATTCTTCAGCAACGCTGCTATATTATTTTGTTCCATTCGCGTTGACACCACAATGAACTTCGCGGGTAGATAGCCATCCGATGTCATGATATCCGAGTGAATAGACAAAAGCCCCACTGCTGCCTGGGCATGTACATGTGTTATAGGTAAACTGTGTTTGAGATCTGAAATCATTTTGCCTTAAGATCTGTCTATGTATCCAGTTGCCCACTGAGATCTTCTTTGAACACCCATGAGGGTGTGATACAATGAAGTTCCATTTTTTAGAAGCTTTGGACATTTCATATCTCTTGTTAACCTTCTCCCATTTTGCCTGCCATGTTTCGACCATTGGCGTTAGTTGTTTCAATAAATCTTTGTTACATGTCAAAGATTTCAGATTGATTCGATCATCCTCTGTATTTTGCCATGTAACCGACCACGAATCCAGAGTTACCAAAGGGCTGTCTTCTTTATCGTAGAATACTCTGCATGTGGTTTTCCTGGCTTCGTCGTCATTAAATACAACATGTCTTGCTGTGCACATCCACACCGCACCCAAGGCTTTGTTTGGCGTGTCTGATGATCGACACTTCTCACAATTGCAGTTTCCCATGTTGTCCTTCTCTGCAAAGGTACTCACGCTCGTGACAATCCCGGACCCTAGCCGCAACACATCAATTCCCCGCCTTTCATAATATGGACATGGTTTGGCTTTTTGGCCAAAAACGTGGCCTGTCATTGCTGGTCCATCGTACGGCAACTCGCACAGTCAGGTCAGCTGTAGCTGTGATAAAATCAAATAAATCTTCATCACGACAATTTTCGGGAAGATCGCTCGGACTGAAACTTGGGGCTGAAATAAATTTGTTGTGATTTGAACTCTTTTCGCAATCCTTGAAATTGCAAGTGTAGATCTGCTTCTCCTCCTTCTGATTCTTGTGCTTCATGGGTTCCTAATATTAAAGGCGAAATGTGGAAATGACACATTATTAATTGATGCACATCACTATTAAACATATCTAGTGTTAATTTTTTTTTAAATAAAAAGTATTTTGATTTTCAAATGGGGGCATTTAGATATTCATTTGAACTAAGGGCTCGAAGACAAAAAGTGAGACCATGTTCTACATTTTTACTCCATCCTCTATAAAAAAGAAAGAAAACCATCAAAACAATTAATTCAAACTACATTTTTACCTGATAATATCAGTATCAAAGACACAAAAGCTAAATACTCTAAGTACCTGGCACAGCTAATAATTACCATAAAAATGACCTTCATACATATTTTCAGTTGGATCTTCTCTCTCATCTCGAATTGCTGAAATTAGATGGATTTTAATTATTTAAAATTTTATTTTAATCACAAACATGTTGTGTATGTAAAATACATTACAATATATATGAGTATATACATATGAATGTATATAATATATATTTAAATATAATTATTATATACTCCGAAGGTAGTGTGTCGGTCAGTGGAATAGAGAGTTTCTATAGAGCGTATTCGGTGTAGAGATTAATTATCTATCTCTTGCTATTTAGTTTGTTTTGGGGTATGGGCGATAGCGTGTTTATTGTTATAATTTTAGCAGTTGGTATGCGGGGAGAGTGTTGAATGCAGGAGGCACGGAGAGCAGCGCTTTGAATAAAGAAACTTTCATTCGCTTGGTTTGGTCTTCCATCGCCCTGTAGATAAAAGTAGAGCATTTAAAACTAGGTAAAATTTTAGATACATGTTTGTACATTGAAAGGAGTTTTAATTTTTATTTTAAACATCACAATATCTAAGATTTGAATGTTGATGTTATTTAACTTTTAATAAATGATATGTAATATTTAATCTTGAGCTTTAATTTGACTACTAATGCAGCATTGTGATAAAAAAAAAATTTTCAGTGACTAATTGATGAAAAGATATAGTCTATTTCAACAATTATGTATTTATTTATTATTTTTAAATTAAGTAATGATGACAGCAGATAAAATAAAAGCCGTGTACATCCTTGGGTTAACAGAAATGTGTTGACTATTCAAAAAAAAAAATCTTTAAAACTATTTCACATTTTTCAGCAAATCAAATAATTAAATAATATGATTATTGAAAATTTAAATTTTATTAGGCCTATATATATATCCGATTCGTGTGATTCAATAATAAAGGATTGGAGCTCAATTCCCTGCCGAAACCCTATTAATTAAAGTGGATTTTTTCCCCTTCCTATTCAACACGCCCCACAAAATAATAAAAAAAAATATTCAAAAAAAATTAATTAATTGATTATATTGTTTTGTTTCCCATTATTTTACTCAGCCTAGAGGCAACTGCTTCTCTCCCTCCCCACCACCCCCCCCCCCATAAAAAAGTCATTGGCCTCACCCGACTTTCCACTTAGACGGATCCACGGCTTTGCGCCTAAAAGCTCTCTCTCCTTGATTAACTTAACAAAAAAAAACAACTTTAAAAAAATTAAGACATAATACTTCAAACGAGTATAGGGAGAAAGTAAACTCCATTATTTCCGTTCTACCAATATTCCTTCGAACAAATTAAGAACATATTGGTTTCGTGCTGATTTCGAGATACCGCCAACAACCAACATACCAGTTAACTTCACTAACCTGCGTTGGCTGCAAACTTGCATGTTTAGATGTCTGCTTATGATACTGTTTTGTTTTGTAGTTCTTCAGGTTTTCCATTACCCTCTGTTTTACATTTCTTATGGGTTCCACTGGAACGCAGTCCTAACCATATCACGTTTATGGCAGTTGTAAAACTGCATATTTGTACTGATATTTGTTGTTCAGCTGCAAAAGGACTTGATAGTAGATCTAACCACATTGAATGAAACAGTGCCCAGGTATTAAGAAACGGACAAATGAATTATATTTTTGAAGGTTTTAGTAAGTTTTCGTACCTGCATTTTAACTCTTGGATCTCAGTTACCGGGTTTCCTAAGAAAAAAACATCAACAATTTTATAGACTACTTGATCATTTCAAAAACATAAACAAATAAAATAATTGTTTCAAAATATATTATAGCTATGCATTGAAGCTTAATTTATTTACCTAAATGTGTTAAAATTATGTAAACAAAAGATAAAGGAAATAAGTTATTCTTTAATATATTACATTTATTCCAAGGCTGTAGGAAGTAGCTACAGTTGTTCATGTTAGTAATGAAAGAACATTAACTAGCATTAAGAAGTGACATTATTCAACACTAGGTAAAAACAAAAACAAAAATATATGCAAACTAATTGTATATTTTTTATGCACTTCGAAAATATGAATAACTTATTTTACACTTGTGAACAACGTAAGACTTTGAAAACATAAGCCTACATCTTACCAGGCGATATATATTTCTGTTGTTGCTTTTGTAAACTATGAACGCGATTACATGATATTATCAAGGGAACTATCCGGGAACTGATGTAATGCACAGAAATAGCACACCCCAAGAACGATTGTTCATTATTTAAAAGACAAAGAAAGTAAAACGTAGATTCCAGTTCTGTTGTGAGCAGCGACCATATTTGTAGCAGCAAATTTGCAAGAGTCACTGGTAAATTATTTTTAAAAATACAGAAATTATTTAAAATGCAACAAAAATTGATGTTAAAAAAAATGTGGTTTGTTTATTTCTTTATTGTTTCAGGCGACGACCCCGCAGAACAACATTCTAAAATTTCATTTGGGGTCGCTCTTCACGGTTTGGGAACAATGCATTAAAAAAAAAACAACCTCAAAGCATTGGGAATTCCGCCAAAATGTAGCTGTAAAGGTAATGCATAAAAATAGAATCGTGTATTCACTTAAAAAATGGCAATATTTTTAACTTGAAGCAACGTTTCCAAATTTTAATTCTAAGTAATTTTTTGTAGTTTTTTCAAACGTATTTGTTTTTTAGTGTTAGCATAGAATACGCAGGTGACGACTTACTACTCTGGGAATTAAATTCAATTAGGCTGATACAATTCAAAAGAAATTTTACATTTCCCTATTTTCTCTTCCGTGATTAGGCCTGCATAATAACTATGGGCCATGAACAGCTTTAGTTTCAGAGAACAATAGTCACGGTTTTTCTGTTTTAAGGATATCTATTTACTTATATATTATACTGATGTAATTTATAGCGTTGAGGTCCCCTTTACAACTAAAATAACAATTATAAAATGTACAATAACAATGCGTGAAGTTTGTTGGACACGAATTTAAATAAAAGTCTCCAACTTGTTACTGCACAATACATGCCTTAGTGGGAATGCGGTCACTGCCACGCAATTTAAACACAATTCCATGGGTTTTACCATATTTGTCTTTGTCAAATCTTGTTTCAGTTTCATTTTCCTAATCCCAGTGGGTTATATTCCAAATTTTCTATTTATAAATCTTATGTCATTGCGATTTCCCCTTTACACGTAAACCAATGACTCAGACATGTTAGGTTGATTTTTATTTTAAATATATCCTCATCCTCATGTCCCTTAGTCCTTGGACCGTTGGGGCACCACAGATGACATGTGAATTATCCTCCTCCATTTCTCTCTGTCTTCAGCACTACGCACTGCACCGCCCAGTGTTAGCCCTGGCCATTCTTTGATGTTATCCTCTCACCTTTTTCTTTGTCTTCCTCTTCTTCTTCCTCCTCTTGTGGTGCCCTGCAATATTTCAGAGGCAAGCCCTTGTTTCCTTGTTACGTGGCCGTACCATTGTAATTAAGAATAATTTAAATATATAAATATTACTAAATGTAGTTGTCTTCTTTTGCGCTTATAGTAATAAAATCACCGTTTACGACATGTTGCCGTGTGGTTGTGATATGACAGTGGACAGTTTTTTAAATATACACTAAATAAATTTCAGTTCTTGTGGTTTACATCTTTAATTGTTTCTATAATCAATGCCAAAAAAAAATCTAAAGGATAAGTCCAAAGGTTAAGCTAAAAAAGGACAATATCCAAAAATGCACAAATAGAACAGGTTGACAATATTATAACTAACTCTGAATTTTACCGCTAACAATAAACATGTTAACTAAATAAGTATTCACAGAATCTGTCCTATAAACCTAGTGAAGCAAATGTCCATGAAAATGATACTATTGTAATAATGTCCAATTACAAACTAAATCACATGGCAGGGTCTAGCTCATAGCACGTACTCCGTCTTACATTCAGAACCAGTTTGAGATGTGAGGGCTAACATAAAGGGTTAGACATTATTATATACTGTCCCCCATGTATGGGGTCTATGCAAGATGCACCCATAGCAGGACAGTTACTACAGTGGTATAAATTATTACCACCGTTAATTTAATACGTGTAGTATCAATGAATCGCTGTGTCTTTTTAAAAAAAGAAGTGGATAGCAGAATGTCCTTTAAATTATATTATTGCAGTGGGTAATTTTATCCTAACACATGCAACATTTCCAGTGTGAGAATTTAGCATATGCCAGAATAGGTATTCATCTACATATATTTAATTTTACGTGTTTTCGCTAGCTGTATCCTGTTGTATCAATCGCTTATAAGCGCCTAGCATTATCTGTAAAAAGAACGATATAACGGTTGGTGTTATGCTCACAAACACACAGGTATCTAATTATATTTAAAAATTTAGTAGGCGGCTAAAATTTCAACCTTCAAAATATCATTTTTATAAGTTAATGGGACAACTGTAGGTTCAACCTACATGAATATCATGGTTATAAGACGACTGGACGGCCTTAGGTTCATCCTTCAAACTATCATGTTTAGAAGTCTGAAAAGAACTCTTCCATTATTACCCCCTAACAAATGCGTTCTACAAACACAGAAATATACAGGCGTATTTGCTTAAACTTAAGAAACGGCCAAAATGGTGCCGGTGAAGAATGCCACACCACAAGGATCGGATTATAACTATGAATGCCAAGAACTTAAAATGCGCCGCCCATTATAAAAAAGGCTTGGTGGACAGACTAGAGAGCATCTACGTC